AAAAAAAAAAAGAAAAAACACCCTCACAAATCAAGTTTTACCATGTGATCACCCTTATCCACACATTTACATTGTTTAAAACTCTGAAATCCTATTCACAGGGAAAAAAAAAAAAAAAAAAAAAAAAAGAAAAAACACCCCCACAAATCAAGTTTTACCATGCGATCACCCTTATCCACACATTTACATTGTTTAAAACTCTGAAATCCTTGGCCACCGGTCAAATGCATACATTTTGTGGCTAAATACCAAGATCTCCCTACAACATTGCTGTGAGTAGTAATTCATGGGGCTGCTTAACACCCAGATCTTCTCTAGCCAGCAGCCACGTACCTGCCCTCACCCTCCCCTCAGATACCAGTGAGGCAGCTGAAGCAAAGCAGCCCCTGGTTTAGGATTAAACAGCTGGGAAGATGATGCTGGAATATCTGATTTATCCTGAACCGTCCTGCTAAGCCTCCATCGGCACCGTCACCGCTTCCCCCCGCAGCCCAGGCACTGCTCCAGCCTTGCTAAGCCCATCTGAACTCCTGGTCTCTCATTTTAGAGGCATTAACCACGACCTGAACGCCCACCCCTTGTCACGGGGATGCCCAGGTAACGCCTCACACGTCACATCAGAGCATGGGTTACAGAGATCCACTCCTTTCATGAGCTGATGAGGATTTTCCTCCGCTCCGTTTGGGAACAGAAAGGCTTCTGTGCTGCTTTTGCTTTCTGTGGTGCTGCTGCCCAGAAACAGCCCTGCACATCTCGGGGCAAAACGTGACCCGACGATGCTGGGGACAAAAAACACCCACTAAGTTCATGGGAACAAGGGTGTAGCCAAGAGAGGCATTAGCAAACGGGGGGTGTGAAGAAAAAGGGACTCCAACAGCATTTATAATCCTTGATAAAGGACAGAGTCGAGATTTTAGAAAAAGAAGTCTCTGTTAGTACAGGCTGGGAGCAGGAGCAGCCTCCCAGCCACCAGCACTGCCTGGGTTGCAGGGGAACCACAGCCCCCAACACACCTAAAGCTGCAGCATCCCCTTCCCAGCAGCTTTCCTGAGGTGGGCTTGGGACCAGCCCCTCCAGGAAGGATGCAGCACGAGCCTTCATGCTCCCAGCTGGCAGATGGCAAAAAAAAGCTCTGGGTCTCTCCTTCCTTCCCCCTCTGGCACCGAGGGGCAGGTCTGGGCTGTGCTGCCAAGGGCTTTCCTGCGGTGTGCGTCAGCAGGAGCAGCGTCGGTGACGCCACAAGGTCTCCTGTCCAGCGCCCCAGGTCCTTTGGGTGCTCAACCCTCTGTTCTCAAGCCATGGTTTCAGCAAAACACGGCTCCAACCCAATTTTATGGCTGCTTTTATTTGAGGCGTGATCCCGTTTGAAGCAACAAGTCTTCCCTAGCAACCAGGGCAAGCAGCGAGACCAGGAGAGAAGCTGACATTCAAAGGAGCCGGGAAGGCTTTCTTCAAAAGAGATAAGAAAATAGACAATAAGATGTAAGCAAGAAGAGGGCAGGCTGCACTGCTGAGCTGGTTATCTCCAGGCTTGTTGTGTGCACTTGCCTGGACACTGACTGTCTTCCAAGAAAGGGTTGTTTCTGAGAAATGATACTGATTTTAACGCACAAATGATACTGATTTTAACATTCACCTAAGTGTACATCACTACAGGGAATCCAGATATGATCTATCAACCCTGTGTTGCTGGATCCTTTGCTACTGTTAGAAAACAAAACAGTTTTTTCCCTCTGAACAGATTCCTCTGTGCAGCTGGGTAAGAGAAAAACCAAACCCAGCATGACACTGGTAATTACAGACTGTGCTAACGATAGATGTGCCCATCTATTTGCAGTCCGGCCACACGGTCACGCCTGACTGCGGCCAAAGTTTGGATCATGACAGAAATCCCACTTATTTCACTTGTTCCATCCCAAGTACAGGATAGAGACGTTGCCTGCATGGGAAAGTTTTACGCTCTAATCGTTTATTCCACCCACAAGCAGTCCATCCTCCTGGCTTTTTGCTGGTTTCCCCACCTCTGTATCCACATCTTAATGAATTTGATGAACAGGATAATCAACATCTCCTCCCATCAAATTCGGTGGGCTCTCTGCATCCCCAACACCTCTGAAACCCAGACAGACCACAGCAGTCTCGGGACATCCCACGAGACCATGCAGTGACTCTCCCTTCTCTTCCCCAACATGTTTTCTCCCCGTTTTGATTTTCCTCCTGAACTTTCTCGTCAAAGGGCTTTCACTGACCACAGTTTGCAAACAAAACCAGTCTTGTTCTGTATCTGGGTAACACACAATGCCAAGGGTTCATGGAGAAAGGGCAGGGGATGGAAGAAGCCCAAAGGGCACCAGAGGGCTGGAAGCCCTCCAAAGGAGGGACCCTCCTTTGGTAAAACAGAATTAACATCAAATTTCATCTGTCTTCAGTACAGACATAAAACAAACGAGCTTGTTATTTCAAATATATTTCAGACAAACACACTTACTAAAAATAAGGATCTCCTTGTGCTGATTTGCAAACTATATTTTGCTGAAGGCAGCGTATGGAGAGGATGCTCTCCGAGCATCCTTCTGCCCAGGGGAAGAGAAGGTACTGACACACGGCTCTGCACGTGGGGCTTCCCTGGGGGTCAGACCCACAGCAGGGTCCTGGGATCCACAGCTGTGACAAATGGCACTGAAGGGACAAAATCCCCTGTGGCTGCCCTGGGACACATTCCAGCAGCAGGTCGGGGTGACCTCCAGGAGCTGAGCGCTCTCCAGGAGGCTGGTCCCGGACCAGGGATCTGCTCACACCCGGAGATGCTTCCAGCGATGACTAACGGCTGGGCAGAGTCTGCTGCATCCAACAGGTCACTCGGGAAGCAGGGGAGAGATCCAAGAGCCATGTCACCGAGCACTCGCTTTGGGCCTAACTAAAAATAGCCTTAATAAAGCATTACTGGGGCCGCTTTCCTTACTGTAGAAAAAATAAACTATTCAGTTTTTCCTATCAAGGGAAAAGCCACTCCTGTGGACTTCTCTGGGCATGGCCGAGGTGTGTTTGCTCTCGGAGGAGCCACCTAACTGACCCAACAGCACGATCTCCTCCCCGAGAGCAGCCACCCCACACCAAACGGTTCCTCACTGTCACCAGCTCCTGTCTGTTCTTGGCTTGCAGGAACCCCACTTCCTAACCATGAGGACCAGGTGGACACCAGTAGAAAAGCTGGGCACACACCGTGTGCCTCCCGTGGAGGAGGAGTACTCGAGGGTCACATTTCAGCTAACAAACAGACACCAATTGATACTGGTGGCTAAATGAGGTGTAAGTGGGAATTCACCCCATAAATTCACAGACAAACCCTCACACACAAGAATAAAACGCTGCCACTCTGCAGGTGAAAGCTGTTCTCAGCAAAACCTCATTCTAACTCCTGACAAAGTTGTTCTGCTGCCAAACCACCACAGCTGCTCACCAGAACCCTTCCTCACTACAGGACAATTTTAACCTCTTCCAAGGAGAGCTCCATCAGCCTATGGACAGCCAGCAAGGGAACCCTTGTCCTGCCCTGGGTACAGCGCCAGTTTGGGGTAGAAGATCATCCAGTCTCCCCAGAACTGCTCCAAGTGGAAAGCAAAACCCCCGTCCTTCTTGGCTATGGGAAATTCCACCTGCATGAAGGGTTTTCTTGTTTTTCTTGTTTTCTTTCTGTCCTAATACTGAAGCCACATCATCCCTATGGCACAGGCTGAGCTCAGAGGACTCCGCTTTGCCTGGGCAGCTCAGACACCACTGTGGGATGAACCACGAAGAGCAACCAAGGCTTGGCTCCATTTAGGGCAGTGCTCCTTCTCCACTGCCCAGGCTTCCACTCACAAACTATGTGTTTTCCAACAGAAGTATAAACAGTAAATGATAGCTCTTTATAGCAGGAAATGCCTTTTTAATCTGAAGTGGAAAATTGTATAAACTTATTTAAATCAATTACAGATAACATTAGTCATTTGTGAGCCTTATAAGGAGCACTCATTTAGCCTGGATAGTTTGTGGTTTGTATTAGGAACCTTGAGCAACAGAATTACTTCCAATGGAAAGCAAAAAAAAAAAACCACCCTTTGTTTTACTTTGAAATATTCTAAAAAAACATTAATTTGGCAGGCCCTTAAAATGTCTATTCATTGAACATATGTTTAGGAAAATGATAGGTGGATGTTAATGAAGTGGGAGGCTTTGCCCAAAGGAGATTTAGATCCCAGTGCTACTCTTCCTTGAGTTGGATAAATCTCCACTGGGTTGAAGGACCCAACCCAGCTCACTGCCTGGACAAGCCTTGCAAGGTATGAATGGTAACTCGCACAAATAAATGAACTGAACCCATTTTTGTACTAGTGATCTTTAAAAAATAATTTTGTTTTACTCTTTTTTAAAAACAGTTTTCAGAACAGTTACACAGACCATGGGGATGCACCAAGAACTGCCCCCAGGCCAGCCACAAGCTCCTGAAGAAGAGCCAAGCAGAGCTGAGCCAAGAACACATCAAACAGAGGAGGACGTACCTGTTCAGGGAGAGCAGTAGCTGGTCCATGCAGGCTTTGATCTTGTTTTGTGCTTCTAGGTGTGTCATGTTCTCTGTGCTCTCTCCATTAATTGCCAGAATAATATCTCCCGGGCACAGGTCTGCCATGGCTGCTTTGCTGCCAGGGTTAATCTAGGCAGGGAAAAATAAAAGGGTTATTTAACAGTTTTAAAAAGTCTGGTTTCTTAGAATAAGCAGCAGATAAAGGGAACAGTTATTTCTGGAGAAGACATGTGCTTTGCCTACACCAATGGCATCTCCCAGAGGTTGGATGTCAGAGCCAGGGCTCTTGGGTCAGCCCCAGTTCTCCAAGGGCCATCCTGTACAAAGATGCTCTTTTAGATCAAGAGATTTCTGTCACTGTGTGACCAGGTCCTCTCTCCAGATTCGTTTCTTGCTTAAAATAACACAATACCCTCTTTCAAGAGAGATGCTTCAGACTCTTTTGGCTTGCAGGCCCTTAAATCATGCTGTGAGAGTCAGTCCCTAAAGAGCACATGCAATGCTCCTTTTTGGCTAACTACGTAATTAGGAGATGAGCACAGTCACCCTAATTGCTTCCTGCAGAGAGGTTATATTTGACATCAGTTTTTCCTGACCGTCATTCAAACGACCTGCCTCTTTCTAGCCCCGCATGGAATATCATGCGGCTCATTAAGTCTCCACAACTCCTTCCTTCTGGTTTGTAGGAATGCCAGAACCTTATAAAACTCGTAACTTCTTTCCTGAGGAACCAATGGCACGTCCAGGTACCGTTTGTGGTCAGCCATAAGACCAATCGTGCAGCGCATAAAAGAGTTTCTGGAGAAATTACCATTTCATTTACATCAGACCAAATGTGGTTTTAATTTTTGCAATAATATAAAAAGATGCAAGGCATAGGGAGGACAGGTAAATGTGTCTGTTTAAACTCTTAATAGCTACGTGCTTGCCCTCTAATTTCCTCTTCAGTCATTCAGAGCATCTGCTAACGCTCCACTAACCAACCATGTGGTTTCTCAAATGAGAAAATTCAGCGAGTCTGACTTTTGGTTATTCATATCTCATGCCACGTACGATGCCATGATGCTTTGAGTCTGTTATGATTTACAGGGGTACAACCCCCAGCTCAGGTGGTGGGTCTCTGCTCCACCACACCCCGCTCAAAAGATCCAGGTGACAGGATCACTGCTCTGTCCTCCACCTCCCCTCAGACATCGCTTACATCGGTGCATAGGGACAACCAGACATGTATTTTCAGACAGTTTGAGATGAAGTGCTCCATCAGCTCTGTGGTTGCTCATGGGATGAGGTCAAACAGCCAGCGAGAGGCAGATGGCACCCAGCGTAACATGGACCTGCCTCCCCACTCCCTGCATGATCACAGCCACGATGCCACTGAAACATGAACCTGAAGGTGTTTGAGGAGCTCCAAACCACTTTTTTTTTTTTTGCATTTAAGTAGAACTGGCAGCCCGAATTAAGCCTTTTGTTGCGTTGTCAGAATAAATCAGCATTTGCCATTTGCTCTTCAATAGTTTCAGCTGGGCTATTTTGCTCTAAAAAAAACCTGCCTGGGCTCCCTCTCCCTGGTTCCTGGGCTCCCAGTGACTCAGCTCAGAGCAAACAACAGGAGGCATTTCTGAGCACAGCACACATTAACTGTTAAGCTCTGAAACAGGACATTTCAATCCAGAATAGGTCCATTTTTAACCTGGCACACATTTTGTCCTATTGTGTTCTTTGAGCCCGTGTAGGAAGACACGGCATTCACGGAGCATAAGGGTCCTTCTGCAGCCACAGAAGCTGCCAGACCCACCAGAAAGTCAACCAGAAGCTCAACCAAGGAAGCATCTCCACGTTCTCCACTTCCCTCAGTGTCTGCCCCGCAGCCCCAGCTACCAGCAGGCTTTTGGACTAACAGACCTTCAATTTGACCCGGGACAGCTGTATTTTGTTCTTGTCTATTCAATGCTGTCTAGATGTCTGATGGATTTTTTTTCTCCCCACACTGATCTTAACCAGATTGTAGCTCCCCTGGAGAATAAGCTGTTCATAAATGGGGCTCTTAGCTGTTTCCTACTTTTAGATTCTGGTTTATTTCAAATTATTTTGGCAGTATCTTCATATTAGCATTTTCTGCTAGTCATGGAGATGATTGAGGGCTTGAAATGGAGCTGCGCTCCAAGAACTCATTAGTTTGAGATACAGCATCGGTGTCATAGCAGCTTGGGAATCAGTATTGTAACGTCTGTCAGATCCAAAGTTTATGTTTTAGTGAATCATGTTTAAAATACTTCAACCCAAGTTCTCCTAACTCACAGCTGCGCAAAGCCCTTGACACCAAACACGACACAAAAAGCCCAACGATCCTGGATATGGGTTAGGGCTGTGTCTGAGTCCTCCTGCAAGGGTCCTACCTCCTTCAGATCCATGCAGAGAGCCACTGGAAACCCAGGGTCTCTGCAAGGACAGGGATGCAACCCTTGACACCAAACACGACACAAAAAGCCCTACGATCCTGGGTATGGGTCAGGGCTGCGTCTGAATCCTCCTACAAGAGTCCTACCTCCTTCAGATCCGTGCAGAGAGCTTACTGCAAACCCAGGATCTCCGCAAGGACAGGGATGCAGTTTTAAATACAGTAATTTCTGTAACAGAGTCGTGGTGTTGGCAGCTCATGGGGTGTCCCTCCCTGCGAGGCACTCAGCTCCCCGAGAGCTCTGCTTGTGCTCGGGGCGACAGCAACCTCAACAGGCATTAGGAGCAGTCAAGTGTATGGAACCGAGAGCCAAACCCACAGCAAACACCGCCGGCTTAAAGAAATGTAAATATTTTTATTAAAGGTCCCCTAAAGGTTTTCCCTTTTTCAAGTAGACAAGAATCCTGCCTCATTTGGAAGTGCCGAGCTCCCAAAGCCACAACTTTATCCAGCAGTGAAGCAGCGCTGATGTGAACTCCCAGCCACCCGTTAACTCATGCTGCTCCTTGTTGTTGCCCTGCCCTCAGAGATACTGCACTTCAGATACTGGAGAACTGCTCCAAGGTCTCCCCGGAGCCTTCTCTTCTCCAGGCTGAACCCCCCCAACTTTCTCAGCCCCCCCTCCCAGCAGAGGGGCTCCAGCCCTCCCAGCATCTCCAGGGCCTCCTCCTCTGGCCCCGCTCCAACAGCTCCATGTCCTTCTGCTGTTGGTGGCCCCAGAGCTGGAAGCAGAAACTCCAACAGCTCCATGTCCTTCTGCTGTTGGTGGCCCCAAAGCTGGAGGCAGAATCCCCAGAGCAGAGGGGCAGATGCCCCCCCGGCCCTGCTGGGGAAGCAGCCCAGGGTGCGGGAGGGGGATCATGTGGAGCTTCGGGGGCTCATGTGGAGCTTCTCATCCACCACCAGCCTCAAGTCCTCCTCAGGGCTGCTCTCCATCTATCCTCCACCCAGCCTGGATTTGTACTTGGGATTACCCCGAGCCCCTAAGTTCTCCTCAGGGCTGCTCTCCATCCATCCTCCACCCAGCCTAGATTTGTGCTTGGGATTGCTCTGTGCTTGGGATTGCCCTGAGCCACATGCAGGACCTTGCACTTGGCCTTGTTAATGATGAAGCAGATCCCTCACAGTGCTATGCATGGAATACCCACCACCCATCACCTAATCGCTCCTGCATCTTCAGCAGGAAGGAACTGGAAGAGGACAACGCACGTGAAGGACCAGCCAGCCCGCTGGGGATGTCACTGGCACTTGTGTTTTCACAGCTCCTTTTATGCCCATAGAAGCCCAGTTGTGTGTTGTGTGTACTCTGCCCGAGGGGACTGTGCACGCACAGCACGGCCTCTGCTCCGGGAAGGCAGCATAAACACACAGCACTTTTAGTGCTCTCCCCAAATTAAATAAAGTCAATAGAGAAATAATGTTCTGCCTTTAACCCTGCCACAAATACTGAGCAGCTGCTGCTTTGTTTCTTTCAAAAAAAATAAAAATATGCAGATGCATAAGGATATTTATAAACAGAAAATGCTAAAAGAAACAAAAAACATGCAGAGTTAGCAATATTGTAAGAGCAGGGCACGTGGAGGTTTGCAGAGCGTGTGCCCCTGTTAAGCAGCTCCAGGCTCTCGAGAGCACAGAGAGCAGGCTCTCCTCGTGCAGCGCCTGCAGAGTGTTCCTCCTGCAGGAATTCACTCCAGTAGGAAGCCAGAACACATTTTTTTCCCCCCTTTTCTAAAAAGCATATTATTCTCCCTAATCCCTTCAAGACAAGCCTCATTTGTGACACCTTTGTACATCCTCTGCATGGCACTGGGCTTCAAAAAACACTAGAGGTCAAATATCGGCACCCATCTCAGTCTTTTTATATTATTCCAGCAGGAAAAGGAGAATTTTAAGAAATGAGATGCCTTCTTTCATTGTCCTCTGCCTCCTTGGTCACCAGTCACAGTGCTGTGAGCATCACCCCGACTTCAGGGATAAGGAGGGGAAATGCAACCCACATTAGCACTGGACCAACACCCCAGAACTTGGTATCTCCTTTTGCCAAGTCATCAACTATATCTGCACAATTACAAACCCATTTATTTTTAAATAACTTTTCCTGATTATTTTCCCCAGCACTTTTCCCAAGATGACCACCCACCTCCCTCCTCTCCTCCAGGGAGACCAGGACTAACAAGCAGCCCCTTCCCCAGCCGAGCAGACACCCTGATGCTATGGAACAGACTGGAAAAAACCCCGAAGCCAGCAGCGGCTATCTTATCTGGCCCCTGGAGCCTCATTAGGATTTACGGAGTGCTAGCATCTGACACCAGGCCAATAAAATAAAGCGCATTAAGGCAACTGTTGTCCTAAGCCAGTTGGCGTTGGAAGCTGAGCAGTCTCATTTACTAAGCGAGATTACTTGCGCTGAGAGGAGTTTACTCTTGAAACACACATAGTGTTATACTTCATCCCCTGGAGATGGAGCGCAGAAGCGTGCCAGGGCCGTGAGATCTGTCACTGCAGAGCAGATCTCAGAGGGGCAAAGTCTCCCCTGCCCTGCCACACACATCCCCCTGCCCACGCAGGGACAACCCCATGGGGACAGCCCAGCTCAGAGACAGCTTTGCTCAAGCCATCTCTAGAGTTGGGCCAACACCACAACTGGAAACAATCAGCGCTTAAGTGGAAG